CCTCGGTGGGTGAGGGGGGGGGGGGGGGCAAGGAGGGGTCACCTTCTTCATCCTTCTCCTCCTCCTCCACCACCAGCGTGCTTTTGACAAGACATTTCAGCAAGCCTGTCTGGACTTTTCCCGTATTCTGCGGCAGTATTCTTCTCGTCTCTCTGTCCTCCTTTTGATTTTGTCTGTGTCTTCAAGGCTGGCCCATGAGCAGGTGGTCGGTCCAGTCTTATCTGCCTTGGCCTCTGTTAGGCACTCACGAGTACAGAGTAGCAGATTTCTGGGCAGATGTGGGTAGAAAGAAAAAAACCACAGTGGACATCTGCCGTGTGTTCATAAAGTCATTCTGGATGGCTTTTTTGTTAGATCAAGTGCCTTCAGCTTTTGTTTTAAGATGGCGAGCAACACGAACAACTTACTTCACTTTCGAGTTGATTTTTAAAAACATTGTAACGGGATGTAGGGATTTTTTAGCAACTTTATAACACAGTCTTATTGGCTTGTAGTATTCTTAGACTTTTTTTTTTTTTTACATTATCTTTATGATAGCTTAGATCGTTGTCGTTTTTACTCCTATATTTTATTTTATTTTTTTTTGTTTAAACTTCACCACATGAAGAAACAACTCGAGATGGGAAAGTATCGATACTCGCGATGATCATTTTAAGATTTCGAGTGCTCACAGCGATACCAGCCACCGATACTTCAGACAAACAAAATTAGACATTTCGTCAGCACTCCTCGGCAGGACTTGGCGCTGTCCTGCGCCAGTTTGACACATCATGAGTCAGAAAGAAAGGTCTTTCGTGACACTTTTTTGTGTCATTGTGGTCAATGAATTTTTTGATATCAAAAGTACTTGAGGTTTTGGTACTCAGTATCGTGAGTACTCGTACTGGTATCGAACATCTCTTGAAAGAACATCGATGGTTCGCTTTTGGCTGCGTGGCCCATCGTTTCAACACAAATACTACAACTTGTGTCTTTCAGCGACAAATAGTCCTGAACATAAACCCAAACCACAAAAAAGAAGAAAAAAAAAAAGGAAAGCCGATTTGTAGATGCAATGATAGGAAAAGATGTTGAAGGACAGCTGGGACGTGCTGGAGCAGGTTTAAGAGTCATGGCGACGGCGAGGTTGGGGCGAGAGAACAACAGTTTGGAGATTTTTCTTTCTTTCTTTCTTTTTTGGAGGAACAATTGAGATGCAATCGGTTCTGATCTCAGTCAGGACTTGTGGCCGATTCCAAAGATGTTTTTGTTGTTGTCATTTTGCTTCCACTTTCACAGCGATTTGCGAATCAGCCTGTGTATGAACAAAAGAAAAATGTATCATAAGCTAGTGAGAAGAAGAGAAACAAATCATAGTAGGTTTACCTTTTTGTCTTTTTATTTCTTTGTAGTTTTTTTTTTTTTTTTTGCTGTCGTTGCGAGTGACTAACCCTGAGATTTTTTTTTTGTTGTTTTTGTGATTTGGAGTTTTCCGATGTTTACACCGCGCTTTGATGGCTAACCTTCAGTATCCTTCGGTAGCATTAACTTTGGAACTTGACAGAACCATTTTTCGAGCAAAAGAACTGTTTTTATACATACACCTTGTGAGAAAACTCCTTTGGAGAATAGATTTTCCTGATCGGTTGAATCGATGCATTGGAAGATGGACAAACAGTGTTGGTGAGAACAAAACAAACAAAAAAAAAAAAGAGTGGTACACTACAAGTGCTTGTATTCCTGACGACGCTTTTCAGTTTGGATGCGACTCAGCGTTGATTTTTTTTAATGCTTATTTTAGCGCGTGGCTGTCGACGCCAACTTGAGCTCGTCGGCGGTCACCGTCGTAGCCGTAGAACTAATCGCACCAGCTAAAGAAACACACACACACACACACACACACACACACACAAAAGATTTTGCTATTTAGAGTTTTCTAATTGCACATGAAATGAATTTATATTCAGTGATGATCTGTTCTTTGTGTTGTTTTTTTTTTTTGATAGATATGTTGCATGTGTTTTAGAACCGTAAAATCTGTTACATTATATATAGATATATATATAGATATACCTATATATATCTATATATATATATACAAATATATATCCCTTCATATACAAACGTTGAAATTGGCTTGAAATAAAGTATATACTTTGTGGTAATACTTTCCGTGGAGTAACCTTTATTTTTTACGGCTTACTTTGAAGCCCTGGTGAGTAGGGTCTAACTTGGGGTTAAGATTTCACTGTAGGGTTGCAAAGCAGAGTCGCTGATGGTGTCGTGCAGGGTTCCCACGGGTCCTTAAAGTTCATAAAAATCCATTAAAAAGAACTTGTAAAATAATGTTCTTAATCATCCTTAATTTTCAGGGAAAGCTTCTAAAATCAATAAAAATCCTTAAAAATTAACCTGTGGTGTTGATTTCATTTGTGGATGTCATTTTCCTCACCCTTCCCCTGTGGCTTTCTGTTCATGAAATCCACGTGAATCCCCTGCTGAATGGAGAAAAAGTCCTTAAAATGGCTAAATTAGCCCTCAAAAGTTGTTAAAAGGTCCATATATAAAAAGCAAGTGGAAGAGTGGGAACCCTGCAGTCAACATTGTCCCAAGGTGTAAGTGTGCGCGCGAAGAGGATAAGAAAATGGATGGCCAAACGTTTTTGGAAACCTGCTCAGGTACAGGTAGAACGTGCAACCTCACACCGAACGGCCAGAGTCGGGAATCAAACCCTGCACCTCCGCAGTGCAACGCCAACGCAGTAACCATTCAACTACCAGTCAGGTGATGAACAAACACTTTACATCGTCCGGAGGTGTGAGTGTGAGAGTGCAGAAAAGATGATCAGAAAAAGCATGGCAACACATTTTTGAGAACACAGAGGAAGAACGGAGCTGGATTCGAACCCTGAACCTCCACAGTACAACGCGGACAAACGAACCATTTGACTACCAGGCAAGTCATGAATGCTTTACATTGTCCCTATATAAGATCGTTTTTTTTGAAATATATGCGCATGGAAAATAAGGCTTTTTGTTTTTGTTTTTTTAAGGATAGAAGGCATTTTTCACAACAACAAAAAAAAGACCATGTATAGTAAGGTGTTTTTAGCACGAAAAAAAACCGACCATGTATAGGATGCCGTTTTTAACCCCCCAAAACGACCTTGTACAGCAAGGCGCTTTTAGCCGAAAAAAACGACCATGTTTAGTCAGGCGTTTTTAGCCGAAAAAAACGACCATGTATAGTAAGGTGTTTTTGGCCGAACAAAACGACCATGTATCGTAAGGCGTTTTTGGCCGAAAAAAACGACCATGTATAGAAAGGCGTTTTGGGCGGAAAAAAACGACCATTTATAGTAAGGCGTTTTTAGCCGAAAAAAACGACCATGTATAGTAAGGCATTTTGGCC